GACCCTCCACGCGAAGTGAGGAATAGGAGTTAAAAGAAGTACCCTGGCAAGCGACAGATGTACATAAATCTTGCTCACCTAATAAGGGCCGACCGTGCATAAAAACTGCAGTTGGAACCCCAGCAAAGTAAAACAAAAGAAAACAAAACAAATAATAAGGAAAAGGGGGTTCCAACAAGTGAGATGAAAGAGCTCCCGATACAAAGAGTCCTTGGTCATTAAATTGTGCGAGTCTCCTTATCCATGAATTGGCTATCTTATTTCCACTGCTTCTCATGATCTTGGCTTCAGTCTAGTACTCGCATTGAGAAAGATAGGGGACGTCTTAGAAGACCAGTTGACTTCATAAGTTGTTAAATGATCTAGGAAATCCTTTACCGAAGATCGGGGTTGCATGTTGCTGTAAATGTCTGGAGAATTACATTGGTTTGAGTCAGGTTTGCTTAGGGACAAGCAAACACATAAGTGTGGGGGAATTTGATAGCACCATATTTACACATGTTTGCACCCTTGTTTCTTAACTGTTTTGGCTCGAATTTGTGGTATCTTGCCCTATCTTACGCTAGTTTGCTCTTGTTTGTGATATTTCAAGTCCTAGTACGTGAATAAAGGCTTGGGCACAAGTTTGGGGTCGATTGGACGAAGTTGGGACGTTTGACGGAAAGCTGAGGATTTCACGCGGGCAACTCATGATTTCACTCGGTTGTGCAACATGGTAGTGCACGGTCAAGAGCCGATTCTACGCGGCCATACGTTGTGGCTGTGTATCTGATTTTTACATGGCCAAGGCCGTACTGGCTGTGCATGGGCACATTTTGGTCGTACGGAATGCCTAGGGGGTCTACACGGGCAATGCTCAATTTCACACAGCCGTTTGGTCTGGCCGAGTGACTTCCTTCGACCAACTACGTGCAACACTGCATTTTAGGAGTTACACAGGCAGACTGGATTTCTACACGGCCGTGTGACCTAACCGTGTGGTCGTGATTTTCTGGGTTTTAACCCAATTTCGGGTCTTGGAGAGGGGAATGAACGTTTTGGAGCAAAAACAGAGTTTTAGAGAGAGAAAGTGCGAAGAACAAACCCTAGGAGCTATTTGGAGTGGATTTCTCACCATTGAAGCCTAGATTGCATCCCCAAGAGTGAAGATTGACATCCCAGAGCAGATTATTCCCATCTTTATGAGTATGACTGCTTTGATTTCTGTTTTCCACTCTCTCTCTATGGAGCAGACCTTTCTCTAACTTGGGTATGAAGAACCCTAGTTCCATGTGTTAGGGATTTGAGTTGTAATGACTTTTGGAGTGATATACTGTTTGATTATAATCGATTGAAGTTGGTTTATTGAGTCAATTGAATCCTGATCAACTTCTCTTGATTTCTGTTGGAACCTGTGATAGATAAAATCTAAATAGGTTGTAAGAGCTTCTTCAATTGATAGTAGTGAATTGATTATACGAGAGTTAGTCAATTCACTGCTTTGTACTGGAATTTGGATCGAGTAGTGGAATTCTATGGTAATTTCCTTAGCTTTCTATCTCGGTGAAGACTAGTCGTCTGTCGGTTAGTCTGTCTAAGAGGACTTGGTCGGCTTAAGAGATTCCAAGCTCTCTCGGATATTCCGCAGCTTAATCAACAGTAAATCAACCTAAGGAAATTACAACTTGGACCTAACTAAGGAGCTAGGGGACTCATTCCCGAGTGACTCTTCTCTAGCTTTAGAAAACCAAACACTTTCCTGTTTTCTTACTGTTTTTGTTTACAATCACTTTCACTAAATCTTTCCCACTAGATAATAGATAATCACACAGTAGGCAGTAGATCTAGACCCCGGGTTGATAAATTAGACTTATCACTATTATGCATTTTCAGACTGTGATTATACTTGGTCGTAGTTTGGTGTTGTGTCATAGCGTGTCACTAATCCTAGTGGTATTAGTTTCACCTAAGCATAGCTTTTCAAACAATTTATATGACATCACATTTATGCTAGCACCTAGGTTTGCCAACGGCTTCCCTACATGCATAGAACCAATGATGCAACGGATAGTGAAACTTCCTAGGCCTTTTAATTTCTCGGGTAGCTTGTTCTATAGTAGAACACTCCTCGTTCAGCATCACAGTGGATAGATACCCAAGCTTCTTCTTGTTGTTGAGGATGGCATTCAAGAATTTGGCATACTTGGGCATTTGCAAGATATCCTTGACGAACGACAAGTTGATGTGTACCTACATCAGCATCGCTGAATTGTAATAAACATACAAGTAATAAAAAATCTAGTTATGCCCAGGTTCGTATTACACATGGTCTTTTAATAGTAACTACTCAAACTTAAGCAAAAGAATTCAAATATGTAATTCGAGAAAGAGAAACTAGGTTTTTAAGTATGCAATCCTGTGCTACTAATGCAAACAAAGAAACAAACAAAGATGTTACCAATGGAAATAATGTTTAGGCAATGTCTTTTAGATGGTCATGCATACAATCTCCTCAATAAGATGCATCCATGCATCATCTATTAGGATTCCCTATCTCTTCCTATAATACTACTCTCCACTCATGCACGCGCCTCTTGCGATAGAGATTTGACTAGGAAATGCATGCTTTTGCTTCATGCCATCACCTAATCAATGAAGAATCCAACATTGATCTAATGTAAACATGCATAGATGAGTCCAACTAAACAAGCATACACAAGGCAATGGGATATCACTAGATGATAATTTCTTGACCACCTAAATGATATTATGCACAACTAGCTTTGAGCCCGGCCAGTTGGCCGGAAAGTGATTTTTCTTTAAAATAATTTAGTTTGTACCTCACGACAATGTTTGAACACGCATGAATTGTTGTGCATTGCTATTATCATAGTACAAAATGATACATTGATATAGTTTAGTAACTCATTAGAATAAGAAACTTGTTCCATGAACTTTGGTAGTACATGAGTTCTTCATGGAGGTAGAATCTAATGATATCGATATAGTTTAGTATTTGTCCAACAGGAACGTGACTTGTGCATATATGATTCTGAGCATGCTTTTCTAATTTTTTTCGAGCATATATATAAATGGATATCGTTGTGTAGATCACATAAAATCTGCTTTTTTGGCGCAAAGATATCTAAATTCGGAGTTCAAAAGAAATAAATACGGATCAATTAAGAATAGTAGGGGGATTGAAAAGGAAGAGAGAGTCTGTGCTAGGTGACAAATTCTTATTGGATTACTGAAAAACTCAAAAGAAAAATGAAATAAAAAATAAAATGCTCTTTTAATGTAGATTGTTATATCTAAGAAGGAAAGATAATAAAGTAAAATGGAAAGAAAAAATCTTATTGGTGGGAGGTCTGTTGATGTGGATGTGTAGGAAGTCTAGAATTTTGAAATGGTGAAGCCCTTAAGAAGAAAATATATATTATATTATTTAGATTTAGATACTATAGTACCATCTAACGAGGTTACACACATAGATTATTTAAAACATCATATGGAATAAAGCATTGATGATCATACAGAAGAGATTATTAAAAAATATACAATATAGCATCTAAAACAATAGGCATCGATGATCATAACATAAAACGAGATAAGCATCTTATTAACTCGTAGAAAGTAATACATAATCATCACAAAATTCATATCCCTAAACAGATCGACTAGCAAAACAAAGAAGAGTGGAAAAACATCACCATAGGTACAAGCATCAATGGTGGATGCTTCTCCGAATTTCAGCACCAATTCTCCTCCTCTATGGATTACTACTCGTGCCTAGTGAGGCAGAGTATTGGTAAAAGGTGTGTTTAAAAGCTCTAGCATATTCTCCTATTTATTCGAGTTACAGAAGGGGCGTTTCTAGTCTTTTCCTCCTAAAATCTACAAAATCTGTCTTCAACTTGGAGAGGAAGTAGCTTCTTCAGAAAGTTTCCTTGAGGAATTAGGACTTGTGGCAGTTGGGTGTGATGTTGGGCCGTCGTTAATCTTTCACTTGGGTTTGGTTCCTTCTGGTCCAGATGTGCATGTTTTGGCCATAAAGTGAGCGTTTGGTGTCCAAATCCATCTTCTGTTCGAGCCCTTGAGTTTGGATTCTCATCCTCCTTCTGATCCATTAGGTCCCTTAGTGATCCATATTCACCTTGAGTGGTTATAACGTGGAAAAGCACAAAACAACAACATAAAGGCATAAATAGTACAAAAATCAATGTTGTTAAAACCGAACCAGAGTTTGAACTGGTATAGCTAATGGCTCACACTTTAGTAGTTTAACCAGTAATAGATCGTTAAAAAAATTGGTGTTGAACTAGTACCTCATAAACCAAATAAAAAAATGAAGTACTACACACATAATAACACACTAAACATATATTCAAAATAGAGTACAGTAATTTTAAATAAGTTTAAAACAAGAGTACTATAGTGAGCTAAAAAATAAATTTAATCTGATAATTTATACTTTTATTAACCAAAGTAACATTGTAACATCCCGAATATTTTCCCGACGAAGATATTGTCGCTTTGGGCCTAGACCCTCACGGTTTTCCACTTGAGGTGCAATTCAAGGTGACTTCCAATAAGGTAATCGATCCTTATTATACTCCACACTAAGCACGTTTAACTTTGGAGTTCTCACAAGAACTCCTCCATTTCACCCCAAAACGCGTCTTCTCAATTAAGATCGATTTCTTACTTATGAACCATTAATCTCTCATATTCTTTGTCGATGTGGGATTCGCCTAAATTGTTACAAAAATAAAGGTAAAAAAAAAGATAAAATCTCTAATAATTCCCTAGGAGGGATGAGAGGCTGAACGAGGCAAGTTTAAAAATAAATTAATTGAAAGCCTCCTCATAATTCTATCCGGTAGAAGACCCCATGATGCAGGGAATTGAAAGAAAATTTGCCTTTTTAAATTGGATGAAATAGGAAAAACAATAGGTAAATAAATATTGTGTAGGTACCCAGAAATCAAGGGTAAATAAAGTCAAGTAAATTATTAAAACAGGCATTGTTGAAGTTACAATCCCCACTAGCCAATAGTGCACCGACACGTCTTCATCAACGTTCTTTTTCGACTAGAAGACCAAGAGCTATTTATCGGGGCTTTAAATATTCGGGCACATACTTCGTGAAATGGTTCACACATGTTTTTTGCCCGTCTCTTGAGCCAATTTAGCATCAGTCAATGTCGGGACCGGCTGGTTGAGATCCGGAAGGAGTAGATTCATAGAGCTTATGATCCCCCTGCAGGTTCAAATTGTTGTTCTAACCCTATATTTATTTCTCTTTCTAAGCATACAATTACTAGTACACCTACAAGAGTCAAAATAAGAGCAAGGATAGTAAATGGACTTGCTTTATTTTTCTTCAAACCCCCAATCCACTATCTCTCGCCGCTACTAAAAACTTGAAAAAAGAGGAGAGAGAAAGTAACAACGTCTAGGTGTAGGGATGGCAATTTTACCCATACCCATGGGTATTTTACTATCCAACCCAATTGGGTTGGGTATGAAATCCAAATATATGGATATGGGTAAAGTTTGATGGGTTTGTACCCATACCCATTTACTTTGGGTTGGGTTGGGTTTATAACAAATGGATTTGGGTTTGTACCCATGCCCAAATACAAATTACAGTTTGGTACCTAAACTTAATAGATATGCATATTTAGTACCTAAATTTAATTTTTTTTGCATATAAGTCCTCAAAATATCGATGGAAAATTACGTTTTGATACCTAAATTTTTTTGGTCTTACATTTTGGTACCTAAATTTTTCAAGTTTTACAAATAAGACCAATTTTTGCATGTGTAGTTAAAACACCCTCAAGTAAATGGATATCCATATCCAACCCATACCCATTTAGATAATATCCATATCTAACCCAAACTCATATACAAACCCCAAACCCATACACACATCACCCAAACCCTACCCATAATAAATGGGTCTACTTGGGTTTGGGCAAAATTACCCATGGGTGGGTAAATTGCCATCCCTATCTAGGTGGTGGTGATTGTCGTGATAGGTAGAGGTGTTTGTTTTCTAGGGGAAATTTTGGTTGGGCTTTGAAGGTTTGGTGATGGGTAGGTGGTACCTAAATCTGAGGGTCTAATTTTGGGTTTGGGAGGTGGATTGGATGAATGGAAGATTAAGAATTTGGGAGAAATTTTGAGAAGTACAGGGAAGGAAGGGGTCGGGTTTGAATGAGAGAGAAGGGAAGTGATAAAATGAAATGGGAATGAGGAAGGGCCAAAATTTTGGGTCTCTTTATAGTGGTGTGGGTGTGACGGTCGGACATGCCAAGTGGCCGACATGATTGGTTAATCCAGTTTTCATCGGTTTCCTACATTTCCACGTTAGTACACTTACCTAGTATGTACGAAAGTGAATTTCGTATTCAAATTTTTCATCAAATCCTTCCATTCCAAAGAAATTCTAAAAACTCTCCATTTAAATAGATCACCTATCCATATGATAAAATTCATAATAAGCATCCTTCGATCCATTGAATAACACAAAATTACAAACTAATAAAACTTGAAAAACAAGAGAAAATAAATAGAAATCTGGGATGTCTCCTCACTAGCACTTTTATTTAGCGCCATCAACTTTGAGACAAGACATGGGTTGTTTGCCATGGAGTGATGTTTCTTTTATTTCCTTGAGCAAAACATAGTATGCTATTTTTAATTGGATGGCAAGTCAAGCTCTGACGTCCATCCATCGTCCCATTCCTTGGATTCTCCATTGTTGGCTCGACTCTATGTAGGTGAATCTATTTGGTGATTGATAGACCGATAATTACACATGTTTTCACCCCTATTCTGAAGCCGTTTGAGATGTTGATTCTCATGTTTTAAGCCGATTTCACGCTAAGTTGTGCGTTTATGTCATATTTCAGGACCCGGCGTTGGAATCGAGGCGGAGAAACGAGTTCTGGGCCGAAAGGAGCAAAGTTGGGACGAAGTGGGCTGCAGGAGGAAAATACCCGGTCAGGTGGCCAAATACCCGATCGGGTATTTACCATTTTTTGGCGTCCGTGAGAAACAGAGAGGGGCCCGGGCGTGAAGGTTAAATCCCCGGTCGGGGATTATTGGATATGACCGGGGATTTTCCCTCGACCAAAACGCGCGTTTTAAATAATACCCGGTCGAGACCCAAAATACCCGACCGGGTATTTCGACCGGGTATCGCGACAGGCAGCCAATTTAAAGGAGAAGAAGGCCAACATTCAGAGGCCCCGAGTTTTAGAGAGACAGAGCGATTCCTAGAGAGAGAAAGCAAGGAACCAGAGTTCCCAAGTGCCATAGCTTGATCTTCATTACCATTGGAGCCCCGCTTGAGTTTGGAGAAGTGCCGATTGTCAACCAGGAGCAGAAATCCATCTTCACAGTATGATTTCCGCGTCTGAATATGCTTTTGCTTCTTTCTCCATGGAGTAGTTTCCCCATTCATTTGGGTATGGGGAACCCTAGATTTGTATGCTAGGTCTGATTGTATGAACCCAAGTACAAAGTTTATGAATTGATTATATTCGATTGAGGTTTGAATGATTGAATGACTTGAATCCTGATCAAATTCCTGTTGTTTCTGCTTTGACCTAGAACGAGAATATCTGCCTAGGTTGATAGAGTATCCTTGATTGAAGGTAGGGAGTTGGTGACTTTAGTCGAGGAGCCAACTCACTATTCTGTACCGAATTCAATTCGGTAGTGGAGGTTTGGTTCGTTAGGGCCTCAATCTGTTTACTCCGGTGGAGGTTAGTCGCCCGCTAGAGACTCAGATTGAGAGGGTCTGGAGACCTTTAGTCGAGACTTCAGACTGTTTTAGAACCTTCCGCAGTATAATTTTCATGAAAACTGAACTTGGTAAATTGCAATCCGGCTTAACTACAGTCTAGGGGGAAACATATCCGGGTGACCTCTCTTGACCTGAAAACAACCGTTTAACCTGCTGTGTGTTTTTGTTTGTTTGAACCTGCACTAAAGTTTCACTGCTAGATAACAAGAATTCACCGAGTAGTCATCAAATCTAGGACCCGGGTTGACATTAAAACCCAAACCCGCTATACTACGCTTTAGGAAGTGGTTACACTTGGCCATTTTCTAGAGTGACAATAGGAGTGAGTCAAGTTTTTGGCGCCGTTGCCGGGGACGGCTAGGTTGTTGAAGAAAAGTGATTTCTGTTACTTTAGCATTTTCATTTTCGCATTGAGTGTTTGTTCTTTCCCACTTGTGCCTTCACGGGTTTGCATTGCTTGATTGTGTGCAGATAGTGCATGACCCATAGCCAGTCGGGAGGTTTACTGCCGTTGGATCCAGAGATCGAACGCACCTGCCATCAACTTCGGAGACAACAGCGAGCTAGACTGGCTACGGTGGAGCGCATAGACGGCCATTTGAGCAGCGAGTCCGAGGACGAGTACTAGATGGAAGGCGATCACAACCCACCTCCTGTGAATCAGCTCTTGGGGAAGGACCCCAATCCCCAGGGAGATGGGATTCATCAACATCCACCACCACCGGGTCCCACCTTGGAGTACTACTACACTCTACGGATTGCTGACATCCGCCCGGTCATCCTCTATCCGCCCATTCCAGCAAACAACTTCGAGATCAAGCCATGCTGGATTCAACTCATTACATCCTCCATCCAGTTCCATGGCTTGAAGGATGAGGAGGCCCGGGTGCATCTTTCCCGTTTTCTGCAGCTGACGAACGGGTTAGGTGTCCCGGATGACGCAATCCGCCTTCACCTCTTTCCCCATTCTCTGGCGTGGAATGCTAAGAGGTGGTTGGAGACCCAGCCCCCATTGTCCATCACTTCTTGGGACGATCTGGGAGACAAGTTCGTGCACAGGTACTATCCAGCATCGAAGACCACGACGATTCAGCGGGAGATCACTCACTTCCGCCAAGAGCCAGACGAGTCACTTCGTGATGCATGGGAGCGGTACATGGGATATTTCTGGCAGTGTCCCCATCATGGCTTCAGTGATGCATTCACAGTGGGGAACTTCTACAGTGCTCTCTCCCCAGACAGCCAGAGGGTGATTGAGTCTCTATGCCCAGGAGGGGATATTCTCACTAAGACTCCACCCGAGCTGAACCAGATGATTAGTACCTTGGCCACCCGAGATCATTCCTGGGGACAGAATAGCAGAAGCAGAAATTCCCGGGACCGTGGTGTGCACGCTATGGAGGCCAGGTCCGGGTTAGAGCAGCAGGTGGCTGAGTTGGTGCAGACATTGAAGCAGCTCAATAGTCTCCTTCCGGGCCGAGGTACAGCTACGCCTCCAGTAGCTCAGTGTCAGTGGTGTGAGAGTCCGAATCATCTGGTGGAGGACTGTCAGGCCATGAGGGAGTCCTCTACTCCCCAAGAACAGGTGGACTTCATCGCCAATGCTCGGCGCATGGACCCATATAGCAATACCTACAATGAGGGGTGGCGCCAGCATCCCAACTTCGCCTGGAACAGCAACACCACTAAACCACCTGGTTTCCCAGCACCAACGGGTGGTTTTCAGCAGAGGCAGCCCTTCCAGGCTAGGCAGGGGCCACCACCACAGCAGCAGCCCTACCAGCCTAGGCAGGGGCAGCCATTCCAGCAGCCCCAGCGTCAGTATGCCAAGCCAACAGCAGCCCCAGCTCCCGATAACTAGATGACCGAGCTGAAGAATATTTTGGCGGCATTCATGACCACCAGCCAGGCGAATTTCACAAGGGTGGACCAGAGCATAGCCTCTCTGGAGGCAGGACAGAGGAACCAGGGTGCCATTTTGCAAGATTTACAGAACCAAGTTGGTGCCATAGCTCGCCAAATTACTACCCGGGCCCCGGGGACTCTACCTGCCACCACCGTTCCCAATCCACGTGAGCCGCTCCAGCAGCTGGATGCCATCTTTACCAGGAGCAGCAAGACCATTACCGCTGATCCTGCGCCGGCCAGGCAGGAAGAACCTCTACCTGCTTCAGCACTTCCAGCCGACGATGCAAAAGCGCGGGTGGAGAAGGAAGCCCCCGCTCCTAAGCCACAACCAGTGGTTAAGGAGCATGTGCCCCAGCTTCCCGTCCCCACTGGCCTACATAAAGATAAGCTGGAGACTGAGTTTGCCAAATTTATGACAATATTGAAGCAGCTCAACATCAGCGTACCCTTTGTGGAGGCACTGTC